TTAATATTATTTATAATATAGTTTTGTTCGATGTAATCTAAAAAGATATCTGCTAGGAGACCTGATAAAGGCATGCCCATAGGTAAACCTTCCGAGATAAAGTAGTATTCGTTGTTAAATGTACAATAATTTTGAGTGACTATGTGTTTTAAAATATAATTTAAATGTTCGACGATCGTTTTATTATCTGAAAATGAGTTAAACATTTTTGACGTTATTTCTAATGTTTGGTCAATTGGAACATTTGAGTAAAGGTTAGTGACGTCGAAGGAAACAAGAATTTTGTCTTTTATTTTTAAATCTTTAGTCATTTCTATGAATTGGGTGGAATTATCAATGGAGTACTTCGGAGCAAAGTTAATATCCTTAAATATGTTTAACATAAAATTAACAAGTTTTTGGGTAGGTGAGTTATTAAAGGAGGTAATAGGTCTAATGGGCATGTTCATTTTGTGAAGCTTTGGGAGGGAGTATAATTTTGGAATGGTGGGGTTTATACTTATGAAGAATGAGCTGTTAAAATATTTGTAGTTGGAATTCTTTAAAAATGGAGTATACTCAATCAGGGTTTCCTTGCATTTATTAATCATCTGTTTTGTATTTCTGACGATTTTCTCCAACTTTTTTTTGCATTTGGGAAGGGAACAGAGAAAATTTGATGAGTTTTTTGAATTATTTGAATAAAGTTAATAAGAACCTTAAATTTACTATAGAAATTGAAGAAAATGATCAACTTAATTTTCTAGACTTAAATTTAACAAGAACAGATAAATATAAAATTGAGTACAACATTCATAGGAAACCATCGACCATCTCAACAACTATTCCCTATGATTCAGAACATCCTATGTCACAAAAACTTGCTAATTTTAGATTTTTAATAAATAGAATATTTAACTATCCCCTCTCCGAACAGAATAGGATAAAAGAAATTGACTATGTGTTTGAGCTTGCATATAATAATAAATTCCCAAAACATATTATTAATAGATTATTTCATAAAATACAGCAACAAAGAGACCCACTTTATGTTAAAACTCTAAATAATTTGAAATATAAGCCCATTCCTTTCAATAATGTCACCTTTCAGGCAAAACACAATCATTTCTTTTCAT